ACTTGAGACCAACTCGAGTTGCAACCAGAGTCACGGAACAGATTAAGTTCGTAAGTAGAGGTACCACTGTAGATATAAATGGACTGCTGCCTGCTTGTTGTATCTTGTTGAATACTTTCATTTTCAGGCAGGATCCCGAGAAATTAGATGCCTTCATCATGGACAAAGCACTCCTGGATTATGAAGTGTCCATTGATGCTGACTGTAAACTTTTGACAGTGGGAAAACCATTTGCAATTGAAGGTATGAAACAGCTTTCTAAAACCATGGTCTATATGGTCATTTTTATTTACTGTTTTCTACATATTCTTTACAGCAGTGGGGAGATGCCCAGGCACTGAAAACCTTGGACGAGACCCAGAACAACCCTCCAAATGTTGTCACCAAATTGTAATTGTTAGCATCACAGAAGGGTAAAGAATTAAAATCATAGAGAGTAATCATATAGATTGAACTATATAATGCTGTTCACAGTAAAATGTAATTGAATTCCGTTTTAAAATTAAAATTAAATTAAATTCACTTCTATTTTTTGACATATGCTCTCTAGGAGGCCTTCCTTGGCTCAAAACAAAACAGAACAAACAAAAAAGTTGCTTATCCTTATTTTACACCCAGCAGACCCACCAAGCACCTAGCTATATTTAAATACAAAGAAAATCCATAATCCGTATCAAAGGAGAACTTTTACTGCACCAAATCAGATCTAACTGACTAAACTAGGAAACTGAAAAGTCATCCTTGAAGAAGGCATAGTAAAATAGAAATGCTGCCAGAAAACTCCATGATTTATCCTGTAGTCATTAGGAGTTGAGCTGAATTTGATGGCATATTTAACTTTTATGTTGTATTTTAAGGAAGCTATGAAGAGAGTGAAATCATATTATATTATGAAAATGTGTGGGACCCCATTTCAAATTTACAGTATACCAAAGGTAGGAAGCCTATGGCTCTCCAGTTGTCATTGGACTATAAAAGCCTAGCAATTGGTCTTGCTGTCTGAAGCTGATGGGAGCTGGAACCCCCAACATCTGGAGGACCTACAGAATCTCCCTTTGTCAAATAACACAGAAAATGTTATCCTTCCATGGCCTGCCACCCTCACAGTGGATTCCACTATAACTTTGTAGTTACCTTGACCACCAGGAGGCACCACATGTCCTCTTTCATCTTCTTTGGGACTCTTCAGATGTGGGTTCAAACTCTTTACTGGGAAATGAACCCATGGACGTTTGTACTTTAATGGCTCTATCTTGTGCATTAGCTTTAGGAGCTATCCAAATTCTGGGGCTCAGTAGTTTCAGGAAAGGATATAGAATCTATCAGAAACATCCTTCTGTTATGGGAGCTTAAAGGAAGGTGGACTGTATACTTTCTGATAGCTCCTATAACTTTGTAGGATTCTGAAGTCTTAAGAGATTTGCTGTATCTTTCTTCATTTTATGTCACCTTACCATTATTGGCACAGCTCTCCTGTTCTTAAATAAACTTCCTGTTACCATGTGGTTTGAGCTACTTCAGTGGGATAACAAGATAGGAAGGAAGTACAGTAGTGAGGTACAATGGTCTGCATAATGGATGGTTGCTCTTCAGAGTTATGTGTGGGTGAGTGGGGGAAGGAAGGAAGGAAGGAAGGAA